TTAAGAAACGAAGGTGTGAGGAGCAGACTGATGGATCATCCATGGCTAAACCTCCTGTTGTACAAGCTTCCTTTGAGTCAGTCAGCATCATACTGAAGGATGGAGGAATGAAATCACTGTATCTGGTAAAGACCCAGCAGACAACTCATGGCTGAGTTAGTGAGTCTGCTCCACAGCCAGTTGTGGCTAGTGTGTATCTCAGGGTTAGCTCTTTGGGCTTCTGGAAAGCTGAATTTAAACCGGTCAGATTTCCCAGTGAGCATGATTAAGACCAGGTCACTGTCCACACCTCCAGATGTATCATCTTCCCTGTAGGATTTTCTTGGCAGTGTTTATTTGGATTTTTTGGCACCACCAGGCCATGTCAGCTTTGTAAATGAACAAATTATTCAGAATTGGTACTTCTTGGAGTTGCATTTACATTTACTCTCAGGGCTGCTTTAGCTTTGAGCCTCAGGAGAGCACCAGCTTGTAGGTGCTGTCTTTGAAGCAGGCTGTGATGTCAGCAAAAAGGATTAGTGAATCAAATGCTTCACGTTTGTTTGCAGCTTTCCTCTGATTACAGGAAGGTGAGACTGAACCCAGTCTTTGGAAATCCCAGCTTTTCAACATGCATGCAATGTTAGACTGCCCATGGTGTGAAACGTTAGTTGCTAAATGGCTAGACTTGTTTTTAAATTGACAGTCTTCATGGACTTTACACCAATATATACATATATATACCAAAACATATTTGAGAATCAAAGTACCTCTGGAAAGCCAACAAGCTCCGGGAGATTTTGGGGTTTGCTTGGATTTCCGCTTTCCTCCGCTGTACGACCTCACCAAAAAGTTTGTCAGTTGCATCCCTAAAAAGAAGAGGATTACATATGATTATATCAGTTTGATATCTATATCAAACTAAGCAGGACTAACTTATCTCCGCGGAGCACATGAAGATAAACCATCTTGACACAGCAATGTCAAGGAAAATATGTGAGCAAGCTGATAAATACTTCTTTTCTTTCTTTTTTTTTAATTCAATGGAGAGACGAGTGTCTGAACGACATCTTCGATCTTGGCAGCTGTTTTCAGCTGCATCTGAGCGAGAACATTTCCACATCTTAGGTTGAAACATCAGTATGTCAATCAGTTGTCATCCATTTCTTATAAACCGCACGTCCTTACCACAGATCATTAGTTCCTGGTTACTCTCATGTCAAAATATTTGTGTCTAACATTTGCTCTCGTGTCTTTCAGTAGAACAAAAAAACGGTCATGTGACTGCGAGCTGCGTGTATGAGAGAGAGTGAAAGTGAAACAAATCACAGATATTATTGTAAAAGTGTTCACCTCTAATGTGGATTTCGCTGTGGTGAAAACATCACCAAGCTTTTTTTTCTCCATGAAACATAATCCTAAAGAGATTAGAGTCTTGTCCTAGAACTGAAATGGGGATCTTCTAACACTAAGAAAAAGCATCAAACTTTAGGCTTAATGTACTCAATTTATTTTTAGGATTTACTAAATGACACATCAGCTAGCTTCTTCCCAATCTTATATTGTGCTTTGCTCTTCAATAAGAGGTTATGGTGAAACAATAATGAATGTCTGCTTCTGGTGTAACTGCACACATCATTACTGGTCATCCAAACTTTCCATTTCTTAATAAAGCTAACTAAGCAAGCTTAGTAGAAGTCGCCAGTAAGTCTCTGTGAGATGTGAATAAAGCAGCCAGAATATCAAACATTAACCCACTGATATGGCACAGCTATGAGAAGCATACCTCAGCAGTATGTTGATTTTAGGAAAGCCTTCCCACTTCTCCCGGCACTCTGGGCACTCATTCTTCTGCGAGGACTCCCACCATAGAGCGAGACAGTGCCGACAGAAGTTATGACCGCAGGTCAGGGTAGTAGGGTTGACCAAGATGTCATAGCAACAGTGACAAGAAAATTCATTTTCTGAGATGCCGCTCGCTGAAGACTTTAACTGAGGAGGGTCGGAAGACTCGGATAAGAGAGAAGACTCATCCATTAATTCCTCCACACTGTCATTTGCTGAATTCAACTTCATCTGCTGCAACATATCCAAGTCTGAAGGAGACACAAGGTTAATAAGCCTTAAATCAGAAACTATAACATTTTAGGTTTTAAGTAGGATATGGGTGCAAGCTGTAAATCAGCGGTCTCGAACTCAAGAAATATATTGTGCCCTTGAAGTTAAGTTTTTTTGTTAGGGAGGACTGAGTTGTATAAACATGTACAAACATGTTGGATTGGCTGTGTTAGTTCAGTGAGAGAATTATTTGTAAAGAAAACAATTTTCACTAGCAGTCAAACACTAATGTGTACACTTATGTCTGCATTAAACACTACTTTTTTGGAAATAGGTGTCGGTGTTTTCTTGTTCGTACTACTTGAGCACTAAAGTGGCCCTCCAATGAGATGACAGTGCCAGCAGTGATCCACAGCTCATTTAAGTTTCAGACCCATGCTCTAAATGCGTCACGTAGAAAAATTTTTACTTTATAAAGAAAAAAAAAAGAAGAAAAAGAGATAGCAGTGCTTCCACCAAGCCTATCCTCGGCACTACAATCCAAATATATTTGCCAACAACAGTTCTTTTAACATTTCAAAACTGCATAACTGGATGGCCCTGTGCTTTGCTCGTGCTTGATTTAAGGGGTAAAGCGACCAGTCATGTTTTTGCTCAGTAAACAAATATTTTATAAACGAGAATCTGTTTTTCTGACATGACATCTCGAAACTCAAAACACTGTACAAACTGAAAACAGAAAGTAGTTGGCATTTTCACTGGATTTGACAGCTTTCGTTTCATTTCCATATCACGTTTTTAAATTCTTGCAAAAAAAGTGAACTTGAAAACTCAGTAAATGGCTAAAAATAAATATATCCCCACACATCTGAAATCTAAAGTAATACTGCAAGCATTTAAAAGCAAACATAACCATAATTAGTTGTGGCTGAGGAACTATGATTGAAATTAATTCAAAACTATGGTACTTGGGATAGGATGTCAGCAAGCAATTAAAGCGCGACTTCTGACTTAAAGGCAGCTAAATATGACAAGTACTTAAAAGTCACTTGATTTCCGTATACAAACAGGGGCTCGTGACAGCACTCTGTCAAACAGTGCAACTTATTTGATTTTCAAATAACAAAGGGTGAACCATTACCAAGTCTGAATACATAAACAAAACAGTTTGCTCACTTACTGTGACAGCACGCAGGTACAGTTTAACAGCCCTAGACGTTAGCTTCACTCTCTAATTAGCTAGCTAGTTGCTAGCTATGCGCTAGTTGCACATCGGTTACTGCTGATCTGCAAACATGGGTTAACTACAATTATTAGTACCAAACTGCGCTATCGTTAGCTTCAAGGCTTACATGCTAGTAAGACTAACTTAGCTCAACAGTACGCGCTGATTGCTAAGTTACTAACTGCTAACTGGTGTGGTTCAGTTGGCTAACCTACAGTTGTTACTCGCCTCAGGACTGGTCTCTGACAGGTGACCGACTGCAGAGTGGCATGACTATCCGGCTAATAACTAGATCTCAGGCTCATTTCGCGAGTACAACTCAACGTATCCACACACAGTAGCAGTTCTCAAGCAGTTCTGCTCTTTCACAGCCTCCTCCTGCAGCGGAAACCCCCACATGCAAGCAACCACAACCACGCATGCGCCTGAATGCGTGCCTGCCACCCACCTACCTCACAATGTCGTCACCGGTCACCTATAAGAGGAAGAGGTCCGGTGTCCTCCTCCTGGGTAGAGTCAGAGCTCAATCCAGCAGACGTGACTTTTTTTAACACCTGCGTCAGTTCAGTGCAGATCAGATCCTGAGGCTCATTTTTATTATTCCTCAGCACCACATTATAACATTAAAATACACACTAGCTTTTTACAGAGACCCTGTCGGGTTTACAGTGAGTTATGCTTCTTCATATTATCCTAAATCACCATAACTCCCTTTATGCTCCTCGTCTTCTGTAGTCCTAGCTACAGTAGATGCTGAAGTATTGCAACCACAAGAAACAAAACAAAACGAAAAACACATCATTTGTTGCAATTTCTTTAGTGAAATCTACAAAAAACACAAAAGATGGTAGTTTGAGAGGCATAAACGTGTTTTTGCACCAACATGCCCAAAGTCTGCTATCAGATTACAAATGAAATGCTAATGTTTTCAATGTTCTCTGATGAAGAAGATATGGGTGTATAGAATTTCTCAAATCTTTGTGTTCTGTTTTTATTTACATTTGACCCAGCATCCCAGCTTTTTAGGAATTGGGGGTCATAAAATATTATTGTCAAGTAGGAAAGCTTTTGGAAACAATCAGAAATATGGTTCGTCAGTGAACCAGGGAAAGGGTTTTACCTCACATATTTCAACAGGCTACATTTCAGTCTGCAAGTGTGCAGCAGGAAATAATAGTAATAAATTATCAGGAAAGAAGTAAATATGCATATTTGCATATCTATTTCACTTTCAGTGTGACTGCTTATGGTGATGGACAGGTTGATGAGATCAGGCAGGAGTTTCCATAGACTGTGATGTTTGCAGACAACATTGTGATCTATAATGAGTATAGGGAGCAGAAGTGAAAGAGTTAAAAGGAAGGTTTTTAAGATGGTAATGAGACCTGCTATAATATACGGTTTGGAGACATTGACAAAAAAGCAGTAGGTGAAGCTGGTGGTGGCAGAGTTGAAGGTGCCCGAATTGTTACTGGGAGTGATGAGGATAGGCAGGATTAGACATCAGAGGGAAACCGCTCAGGCTGAGCGGTTTGGGGAAAAAGTTAGAGACGCAAGGATGGCATGCGCACAGGAGGGGATAGTGGATGCTGAAGATGGAGCTGCAGTCAGGAGGAATAAAAAGAAGGATGTAGTGAAGGGTTGGGGTATGTCGGATGTGACAGAGGAGGATGCTGGGGATAGGGTGAGAGGGAGGCAGATGATCCGCTGTGGCGACCCCTAAAGGAAGCAGCCGGAAGAAGAATGAGAATAGGAAAGATGTCTGAAAAAGTGGAGGGCAGAAAATGGATATTTAATTTTGTCATCTGTCTGTAGAGATGCACACCTTGTAATCACGGGGAGGCAGTAATTCAGCAGCAGCAATTTCAGCGTCGAAGAAGAAGAGGAGGAGGCGGAGTAGAAGAAGAACCGCTGTTTAAAAGAAAAAAAGGAAAAAAGGAAAAAAGTGGTGGCGCAACACAGTTTAGCTAGCACGGTTAGTTCATGACAGCTGCTCCCATCCGGAATAACGCTTGTACTTAACCCCGTGTGTAGCCCTGTTTCTCCTATGACATCCTTCACAGTCGGCTCCGACCTCGCACTATGTTTGAGGTAACGTGACAGCGTAGCTGCTTTCAGGCTGTTACTGTGCAGCTGGCTGCAGTTTGCTGTAGCTGCTGTAGTTAACCAGTTAGGTAAATGCACGTCGTAAACAGGTTATCCTCATAGGTCAGGGACACCGTATTAGTTGAGAGTGCACCGGTGTGGACTTGATGCTAACCTTCTTACGTTCATGCACAGAACCAATTATGTCATTATAGCTTTAAAGCTAGCTTGTTAGCAAACGGTAATTGTTATTAAACAAGGCAGAGCTGCATTCATTACGATAGTACAATGACTTATACACTGCGACTGACTGATGGAGACGTGGAGGCATATATTCAGCGGCCAAGTGAAATAGTCAAGAATATTTTCCTGCAGGGGATAACGCAAGCAAACGAGACAAAACAAGTTTATTTTGAAAGGCTGTTCAGGTTGCTGACTCTTGGAACCCAAGAAAGGTCTAAACAGAACTTGCTGCTAAACTATTAAACTAAATCTAAATCTCTTGAAATGGATTGTTTTCATTTTACAATTGTATAAGAGAAATATTTTTACTTTTGTGAATTTAGAAACTTGAGAAAGCGTTTTTCTTTTCCCGGACACTAATATATAACTATCAGAATAAATCCAGGTTAATTTTTCAGACTGTGTTAGAAAATATTCTGCAGCACTTAAAACAGAAGTTTAACATTATCCTGCAGGAATGCTTTATGGTAGGAAAGGTTATAATTTTACCAGGGTGGAATAATACAGACCACATTACATTTATGTGAGTTGGTCCGGGTCGTCGGGAATTATGTGTGTGCAGTCCACTTGGTAGCCTCATCAGCCTAAATTAATTGAGAAGGGTGGGGAGGCAATATTTGGAGCGTACAGTATTTAGGGGGGTTACGTTGAAACTAACAGCAGATTCTTGAAGTCGTTCATACGTCCAGTTAAACGTTTTAGGCTGGGATACAAATCAATTCAAGTTCATGCTCGAGTTTATTTGGTAATTTTAATGCATATTTAATACGTTTCTTGACATTTTGTTGGTTGATATGGTTGTTAAAGACATATAAACGTTAAATTAGTAAGGTAACTAGTTAAATGGGATTCACTGGTGGTTGTTTCGTTGATGATGGTTGGTTGATTTTAGGCCAGTTTTAACATGTTTCATAATATATCTGCTAAATGTACTCTAACATTGTCCTATCGAGGCTGTGTACTCATCATCTGTGTTCAAAAAACAAAAAGGGAACTTTTAGAGTTTATGTTTGAGGTGATTTCCTTTTTGTGGTGTGTGCGGTTACAGCCTGTGGCTCAGGTGTATTGTTTCTTTATATTATATAATTAATGCACAATTATATAATGTTTACATTACACAGTATTAGTACCAGTATATCAGTATTGCACTTAACGAGAAGTATACAAGAAGAGACATATTTCAGTTATGTTGTTACTGTTGATGTTGCATAATTTGTCCTACAGGGGGCACTCTGAAACGTCTATGTTGGTAACGTGTTTGGAACGGCAGCCATCAAAGCAGATCGAGTTATCCACAACTTGTTATAACAATAAAACAAGATGGTTATGTTAGTAAGGACTCATAAATAACAAATCACAACATATAATCTCTGTGTTTCATCTGTCTGACAGAAAAAGCAGCTTTTATATCAGATTTTTAAAAGCACCAAATATCGGTTTCTGTATTGTTCTTAAAAATCTTATATCAGCCGGGCTCTAGAACATATTATATCAGATGTTTATCCAATTCAATACAAAATGTATTTGTATAGCACATTTAAAAACAACAGAGTTGACCAAAGTGTTTCATCGGTTAAAAACAAAAGAAAACAATAGAGAAACAAATACAGATAAATTAGAAACAAATACAGATAAATAAGAAGACAGTGAATTAACAATAAAAACATAAAACAGGCCTGATGGTACTCGTACTGAACTCGAATTAAAAGCCAAACTAAAAAAGTGAGTTTTAAGATGCATTTTAAATGACTGAATAGACTCTGAAGTACGAATCTCCTCTGGCAGATTATTCCAGAGTCTGGGTGCTGCTACTGCGAAGGCCCGATCTCCTCTATGCTTCAATCGAGACCTTGGTTGTGCTAAGAGCAACTGGATAGATGATCTCACTGCTCTTTTGGGGTCATACATGTTGAGGAGTTCGTTTAAATAACTAGGCGCCATATTATTTAAAACTTTAAAAGTAAGTAAAAGAATCTTAAAATCAATACGATATTTTACAGGGAGCCAGTGTAAATTTGCTAAAACTGGCGTATCAATTAGATGCATCCATGTTGTAAGAGTGGTAAGAGTTTTTTTTATTCTTGCCGTCATTAATCTAAGTAGTTTTACTTTTTTAACCTGAACTCTCGAGTCTAGGATGTAACGCCATATTATGTAATCACTTGACAAAATGCAATATCACTTACATTACAGTCATCTTCAAATGCTTCTGGGTATCCATTTGGGCAGATATTTTGAAGCATTACCTAAATTAAATTAACTTAACCTCATTTCAGTGGTCAGTTAGCCATAAAAGCAGATATAAGGTCAGTTATGAAATTTGATAAAAGCTGCTCAAAATGTTCGCTGACTTTTTAATCTAGGTTTGTTTGAGTGTCATCGCTCTCTCTTCTAATGTTTGCATTGAAGAGCCTGTTACAAAATGGGGCAGCACGGTGGTTAGCACTGTTGCCGCACAGCAAGAAGGTCCTGAGTTCAGGCCGGGGTCCTTCTGTGTGGAGTTTGCATGTTCTCCCCGTGTTTGCGTGGGTTCCCTCCGGGTACTCCGGCTTCCTCCCACCGTCCAAAGACATGCAGCTTGTGGGGATAGGTTAATTGATTAATCCAAATTGCCCATAGAATGTGAATGTGAGCGCGAATGGTTGTCTGTCTCTGTGTGTTAGCCCTGCGTCAGACTGGCAACCTGTACAGGGTGTACCCCGCTTCTCGCCCTATGACAGCTGGGATAGGCTCCAGCACCCCCCGCGACCCTGAAAAGGAATGGATGGATATTACAAAATGTATAAGTTGCACTTTATTGATGAAAGTATAAAGTTGTTATCTGTTTTATAATTGACCAAAATGGATGTTTAACTGCTGTATTATGTCAAGTAAAAGCATTCAAAATGATTAAGTTATTGTAAATGGCCTGTATTTGTATAGCGCTTTACTAGTCCCTAAGGACCCCAAAGCGCTTTACACAACCAGTCATCCACCCATTCACACACACATTAACACACTGGTTTGTGGCAAGCTACATTGTAGCCACAGCCACCCTGGGGTGCACTGACAGAGGCGTAATATAAAAATAAACAGTAACTTCTGATGGCTTTATATAGCAGCTCTTTTTTCTTGTGTGAAACTTGAGCTGTTGTAGAGTAGATGACCTGTTTTTCCTTCTGTTTGACATCTTAATAGGATCCTGAACTTCAAGATCCTTTATCACTGAGTCTGAATGAAAACTGCAGTGACCAGTCTTCCCCCAAAAAAGCACCCGCAAGCCCCGACTACACCTGTGAGATTCCAGAGATCCGAGTAATCATCAAAGAGGAAGAGGATGGCTGGACTGTGAGTGAGAATAGTGAGTGGAGAATCTTGAATTATAGCTTCTCTTCACTACATGATACACACATTGTTGCTCTTTGTGATTTTTCACCTTTTTTATATATTAAACGCAGATGAGAGCCTCAGCTCAGAGAGAGAAAAAGAGGATGCTTCTGTAGACGGCTGCCTTCCCCACCAGAAAGCGAGTGGCGTGGAGAGCTCTGCTTCATATGGCGTAAAGAAACCCCAGAGAGGATGTGCAGCGGAGAAACGGTTTGAGAAGCCTTGCCCTGCCACAGAGAGCCTGCAGAGACACAAGCTCGCGAGCTCCGATGAGAAACCGCAGATTTCCTGCAAATGTGGGAAGGCATCAGGAAACGTGACTGTACATCAGTGCAATAACACAGGAGAGAATCCCCTCTCCTGTCCAGGACGGGACATGACCCCCGGTCACAAAAGGAACGTGAAATCCCATCAGGAGCGCTGGGACCGAGACCAGAGAGCATCTTTACACACAGAAGAAGAGCTACAGCAGACCGAAACGTCAGCACCTTGCCAAACTGTATGTTGTTTTAGATTTTGTAGATATTATGAAAAGATCAACACATGAAGTTTTCATTGTTTGTTTTTTTTAGTCATCTAGTTTACTAAATTTTATTTATGTGTTATTCGTGAATGCATTTATAATGTCCCAGTCGGCCTCGTGCAGGAAGGTGTACATGTTTGTTCTTAAAGATCGGGTCTTAAAACTCATGTGACCATTAAAACTCATCCCTCGTGTTCATGCTGCCCATTAAAAGATCACATTCTGTTGTTTTTGAATATGAGTACAGAATCAGTCCTTGTGCTGTGCGTCTCAAATCAGTTTAGATCTCACAGGTTTAGATCTGACAATCTGCCACACACGATCACATGGTGACAGTCAGGAGTAAAAACTCCCTTTTAACTGGAAGAAATCTATATTTTGATATTTTACATTTTTGACTGCAGTGGAGGGACGATGATAAGATGAGGACTTCGTAACATTGCTTACATTATAAACACTTTAGGAAGGGATGTTTTTGTGTGGCGCATACTAAAGGAATGACATGTTGTTTTAAGACTGACTCAAAGAATGTAGCTTTTAATTTTCCCCTACCAAGAGTGGTCCAGCTCTGCTGTGTTAAGTACAAAAAAATGTTACTAGAAGAAATCGTCAGTGTTTTCTTCAGTTTTAATTCTCTCGTGCCCTTTTTTTAAACTCTGTAAGTCAGGGGTGTCAAACTCAAATACACAGTGGGCCAAAATTCAAAACTGGAACAAAGTCACGGGCTAACGTTAATATTTATTGAAATATATTTATTCCTCCAGATATAAGAATGAATCTTTTCTTATGGACTCAAACACATTCTGCTAAAAAACTGAATATGGAACAAGCAAAGCTTAATTCTAAACAATATATATATTAGCTATATAATACCAGTAGGCCAGCTCTAATAGTAATTTGGTATGGCTTCGCGGGCCAAATGTAATTAGGCTACGGGCCAAATTTGGCCCGCGGGCCAGAGTTTGACACCTATGCTGTAAGTGATTGCTTCTTAATGTCACGGTGTAGTGCTGCTCTGTTGGAAGCTGTATAAAAACAAAGTGAATTTTGAATTTCCCACTATTTTTCAGACCTTGTTTTTTTTTTTTAACCCTTTTCCCCTTAAAATTTAGAAATAAAATGCTTATTTGTCCTAAGTTTTGACTGCATGACTTGGAAGTTCCCCAGTGTGAGACTGCTTTTTACAGTTTTTAACTTTTGAAACTAAAATTGGATCTTTTGGGTTAGATGGGAGAAAACAGCAGTGATAAGTGTGGTTAGTTGTATAAATAAGACATGCATTTTGTTATATTTAAATTAGTGGTAATGCTGGAAAATCTGTGCGCTTATATTCTTCTTGCTATGTTTTGTACGTTGGGATATTAACTCCCACCTCTTACATGCAGTATTGTCACTGCACTGTGTGTAAATACAGAGAACACTTTCTTTTTATTCCAAAACCCAGCTCACGCTGACGTAACACGCTCACAAATCTGGCCCTTTGGGTTCAAAATACTAATGATGACTTTCCACAAATATGCAGCTACTCTCTAAGAGGCTTCATTAATCTTGGCGTTTTTGCAGTTGAATGTTTGATGGCTCCAATTTGAAATGTCACATGCGTTAGGGCAGAGGATGAGAATAGGAAGTTGTTTTTGTGTGAGGCCCTTTGTTTCAGTCGGTCCAGTGAGGTCCGGTGTTTTTGGACAGTGACACATTCTTTGCAGTTTTGCCTTTGGATTTGAAATCAAGCATTCAATATGTGATTGAAGTGCAGAGTTTTAGCTTTAATTCAAGAAGTTTAACAAAATTATGTCTTTAACTTTAAGAAATGCAGGATTAAAATCATTTGACAAACTAACATAATCCTAAATTTAATGGTTGTTTTTAATACTTGGATAACAATTCTTTGCAGTCATGACTGCCTGAAGTCTGGCAGCCACGGACATCACCAAATGCTGTGTTTCCTCCTTGAGAGGCTCTGCTTGGCCTTTACTGCAGACACCTACGGGTGTTGGTTGTTTGTGGGTCTCTTTGTTTCAATCTGGTCATTGAGGAATGTTTCATTTATTTGCATTGAGAAACATTTGGGTTGCTTTTGCACTTTGCTTTGAGTATTAATGATTTACACCGTAAAGCACTGTTCAGTCAGTTTTGCAGCATGTGGGTGAATCTGAGCAGACAGTGTAGCCCTGCACACATCACAATTCATCCTGCCCCTTCTATCGGCGGTCACATTATCAGTAATCACCTGCTTACATTGGTTAATGCCATAATATTGTCTCCACCATCATCATTGTTTGATAGATGATGTGGTATGCTTCAGATCATGAGCTGTTTCTCTCTTCCATACTTTTCTCTTCCTATCATTCTGGTACCAGTTGAGCTAAGTTTCACTCAAAGCTTCTTTTTTTTTCTGAACTGTGGAGACTCATTTTGATGTTTTCTGGCTGATTTCGTCTTCCTGTTCTTGAGTGTAACCAGTGGTTTGCACCTTTCTGTAAACCCTCTGCACTGCATTCATGTAGGCAGAAGTTGTTTGCCTTAACCAAGGAAAGGATTCGTCTCATAAGTGTATCTATCAGGAGGCTGAGGCGTAGCGCTGGCCATTTTTCCCTTTTGGACTCAAATAAAAGGATAGCAAATACAAATTCAACAATGATAAACAAGTCCAGAAACTTTATCTGCCTAATTTTTCATGGAATAACAACATAATGGACCTTTTGCTCTTAGATTCTGACAATGGGAAACAATGTATAAAATTGGATGGCTATAATTTCTACATGGTTAATGCAATGCTTTGGTTTAAACCCCCTGAATTAAAGCTGCAGGTCTGTACTTCAGTCTTGATTGTTTCAGTTGAAATCCACCAGTAGTGGTGTAACGAGTAAACATGACAAAAACTGTTTCATTGTCCAGAACCTGCAGATAACTTTGTCATTCAGTAGCTTCTTCGCTTCCTTGTGACAGATGTGCTCTGATGTCGTGAATTCCTTTTAGCTCTGTTTTCTGTTTTTAGAATTCTCCTAAACGTGAGCACCCGAAGTCACGCGGGCTCAAGATGGCATCTGAAAACTTAAACGACCAAACGCTACATTTGACTGTAAGACTGCATGCAGGGGAGGAGGAGGAGGAGGTGGGCGAGGAAGAAGAAGAGGAACAAGATGAAGAGATTGGAGGATTAATCAACTCTGATGGAGAAGTGGTTGAATGGGATTCTGGTGAGTTATCAGCACCGGGGTTTTAATGAAAACCCACGACTTCTGCAAACAATACTCATTTATTTACACAAGGGTCCTTCCTTGATTCTGTTTCTCATGTGAATTTGTAAGCTTATTGGCTAAAGAATATCTTAAATAACAGAAGAAATGCATTAATAATCTTTCCCAGATACTCACAGCACTCATAGTTTGCATTTAGTTTATCACTACATTGACATTCCTTCTTTGTCTGGATTGCAGACTGTCAGTTTTTTCTTTAACCTAAGGTAACTGTTTTGATTTTTACAGCAGGCAGCTCTGACCGAGGCTCTGATTGCTCAGCAGGTCCTCCGCCTAGCAAGGTAATTCATTTTAACACAGTTTATCAGTTTAATGTCTAAGATTGGGTAATTACTGCATCTCAGTCACCACGGGAGTGCTTAGTCTTGTAGTGTCGACTGTTGGTGTCATAAATCAAATCAAAATTGCTCATTTGCATCTGCAGCACCACTCTTTGCCTCCTGCCCTACACACACCTACTGCCACTGAATAGTTGGGATGTTGTACATACAGTAGTTTAAAAACTGACTGTCAGGGAAGATTTTACAGGTGGGCTTCTGATGTTTTTTAATGATTGTGATCATGCAGGAGTCTCAGCTGCGAGGCCAAAGCCAGAGAGACAGCAGCAGCCCGACGCTCATCATGGAGGTTGTTTCTGTGGGGGAAGATGAAGAAAGGGAGGACGCAGAGGAAAAAACAATAGGGGCAAAGATGAATGCTGCCTCCCCCTCATACTGTGGTAAACACAAGTGAAGGAAAACCAAAAAACTGTTAAATAATCATCACATTTGGTCCTGAGGTTATTTTGTTTTGCACTTGTTAGCAGAAAAAAGACCAAGAAGAACTAAAAAGGTTCCAGTAGTGTATGTGGAGAACTCAGACACAGAGCTAGATGTTCCTGCAAATGCTGGTGAGTGACATGAAGTAAAAAGGTAGCACTCGTGGCACATTCAGAAGAGATGGAAGGAGACCATCAGTGTAATAGATTTCTTTTCCGCTTTTTTCTTCATCCGAAAGCAAAACGAAGAGGCAGAAGAAAGATTTCTCGAAGTCCACTGTTGCCAGCTGAAGACTCAGAGGCAGATGCAGGAGGTCAGTGAGTGATTCTTGTGTTTTCTACTGCAGCTTAACGTATGTTAACTACTCTGAAGTTACGTTATTATGACTTCATAAGTCATAATTAGTCTTTTTCTTTATCTTAAAGTATCACAGCGTACCCGAAGAAAGAGAAATTTGCATGCAGCAGCAGAACCGGAAGAATTAAACTCAAAAAATGCCCGCCGTGCTGCTGGTAAGAAAAGAAAAAAATAAGCCTGACTCTTGAATATTACGTCCAAACTTCAGATATTTGCTTATATCCTATAATTCCTATAATTTATAATCCTTATCTTTATAATCTCTTCTGCTATTTGCACATTCTTTACTGTAAAGTCCTAAGTTAATTTGTAAATTCTGTAGTAAACTGTAAATTGAAAATATTGTAAAACTTTTCTTCTGTCATTTAATGGTCGGGCATTGTACAGCTACAAGCATTTCACCCCCATGTCATACTGTGTATGGTTGTGTGTGTGTGACAAATAAAATTTGAATTTGAATTATATGCTGTGATTCTTAAAATCTATGACTTAATTTTTTCAACAGCAAAGCGACCGTATAGACAAAGGAAAGATACCAAAACATCTGGTGAAGCAGAAGGAGAGAACATGGCTGTTTCACCAGGTAAGAAATAATAAAATGACCTAATCAGTGAATAACCAGCTCAGTGGGAAAAACAGCCCTGTTTCCCACTGTATCATTTCAAGAAATATGTTTCTTGACATGATACGTTTCCTTAGTTCGAGACATTTGATATGTTTTCTAGGGCTGTTCGATATAACGATATATATCGGCTGACAATATAAAAACATCTATCGTTTCATTTTACGCTATCGTTTGTTTCGTGGTGTCAAAATAAACCGTTTACAGCAATATTTTTTCATCTTTTTGATGGTCACTGTAGTGGCTATATTAATTAAGTTCTCTCTTTCTCTTATACTTAATATAACCACACTACGGACGGACAAGCACCTGTTTTTATGCGTTGTGGTTAGCAACAACAATGGTAAAACCATCGTGTGTCCGCTTGTTTATTTTCCACATAAACCTTTCACAATAAAGCTCAAGATCCTGTTGAGACTTTTCAAAATAAACTGAATCACGTGAAAAAGCAGATTATTTACGGATGAGAAGTAAAAAAGAGCCGCCAGGTGTTAAAAAATAAACCTTAGATTCAAACGTTAGAACAGGCTTTCCCCCGCAGCACGCCGTGTAATAAATACACGTCGTGTAATAAATCCCAGTCGATCAGGAGCTTGTGAAATACTCAGTCTGGCACCAGCAACCATGCCACATTCAAAATCACTTAAATGACCTTTCTTCCCCATTCTGATGCTTGGTTTAAGCTTCAGCAAGGCTTCTTGATGATGTCTACATGCTTAAATGCATTGAGTTGTTGCCATGTGATTGGCTGATTAAATATTTGCATTAAGGAGCAGTTGAACAGATGTATCAAACAAAGATTCTGGCAAGTGTATAGAGTATAAGCTTTCTAATGATAATTTCAGTGTAAACAGTTTGGAAGCATTTAAAGACAGAATATTATCTGAACATGTCTTCAACATGCAACAGAAACAGGCCTTTAGAGTCTCTACTCTTTCTTTATATGCATAATGAGTGTAGGGGTAATGAGATCTGTATATAAATATCTTCGGGCCAAAATGTTGCTGCTTCTGTTTTTCATTCCTGTAGGTGTCAGATATGTAGGATTGGTTTGACTTTGAACAGATCGTTTTGAAAAAGACTTCAGTTTGTGAGCTACACGTCATGTTTGAGCTTTAAAATAGAAGCCTCACCTTGTAATTTCCTCGTGTTTTCCATCTCCATAGACAAGAAGCGCCCTGGCAGAAAGATGATCTGTGTACCAATTGAAATACCTCCTGAGCTCCTGAAGAAACCCAAAGAAAAAATGGAGTACCACTGCTCAGTGTGTGGCAAAGAATTCCCACATGCCTACAAACTAGAGCGGCATGAGCTGATCCACACAGGAGAGAAACCGTACTGCTGCTCCATCTGTGGCCGTGGTTTTAACCAGAAGGGAAATCTCAAAACGCACTACAAAGTCCACTTAGGTGAGAGCTGCTAACAACGCAAATATAATACTTGACAAGCCAGAAGCATTGCATTGCACTGTTGCAATACAATGATGGCATCTTTCACTACTTTTAACATTGGCACTGTGTTTTATTTGCTCCAAATGCATTTTTATCTTGGAACTGAAGATGCATGATTTATAGTTTTTCAGAGCAGCATTTGCCATTTATACTGCTGATAGATTTGTCTTGGTCATTAACTAGGAAAATTGTAATGATTAGTATATAATAATTAACCAATTTAAGTTTTGATCTCCTACCTGTTAATCCTATGACCTGAGTTATTTGCACTTTTACCCCAATGTAAAAGTGAGGTAAGCCTAAACTTCTATGAACTGCAGAGGTTGTTATACCTCAAAGCAAAAGAGTAAAACATGGTTTGAATCTTCCACTTCTCTGTAGGTCGTAAGGGTGCTGTGGATTTTGATGATGAGGTGAATCCCATAGCGTCAGAACTCTCTGAATATTTAAAATCCCTGCCTGGCGAGTCCAGGATTCGATCATCCCTCCGTTGCCTGGAATGTGGAAAAGACTGTGACAGTCATTCAGCTTTGCAAGCACACCACATCACTTCACACACTCAGACAGCCTCTGAATCAGGCCCCATCAAGCCCGGCGCACCACCTCTTCTCTTCTGCCGCCGCTGTGGCATTCAGTTTAGTGAAAAAGAAAAGCTGGAAGAACACATGAAGACCCACATCAAGGAGAAGCCCTACTCCTGTCCCGACTGTGGCAAGAGGTTCATTAACGAGAGTTACATTCAAATCCATCAGCGCATCCATACTGGGGAGAAACCGTTCCTCTGCTCTCAGTGCGGCAAAGGATTCCATACTGCCTCCTCCCTCAAGCTGCATGAAATGCAGCACTCCGGGGAGAGACCGTTTGCATGTTCCATTTGTGGGAAGACATTTCGGATTAACTCTTACCTAACAGCGCATTACCAGACCCACATTAAAGACAGGCCATTCATTTGTAGCATTTGTGGAAAAGGCTACTCCAGAGCAGAGGAATTGAAGGTGCACCACAGACTTCATACCGGAGAGAGACCCTACAAGTGCGGGGATTGTGGGAAGAGTTTCATTTATCGTCAGGGCCTTCGGCAGCATCAACGCACACATGCTGGAAGACGCATCGGGCCAACCAGACAGCTTGGTAGACCAAAACAGCAGGCCAGGCTTGACATCTAACACTTAATCTATCGATGAATTTTTGTTGTTAACCGTGTTTGAAAGTATTGCAGTAAATTGTGTTTTTCTTCCTTCCATTCCTCACAGCTGCAGAAAAGATGATTACTGTGTCTAAAAAATGTACACCACAGACTTCCTGTGGGTTGCCAAGAGTTTGACAGTTTGTTGTGTGGTTTTTCTTCTATCCATGTTTTCTAATTATGTTTTTATTTACCACCACTTGTAGCTCATCTGTATAAATTTGAGTGCCTTTGTAACCTGCATGCCAAATACTAATTAATGTTTAAAAAAAGATCATGCACTATATCCTTGATATTTTAAAATCCATGTTGATGGAATACAGACATTTTTAAGAAACAGAGATTGTTTGTTTTCTGTATTTGATATGGCATCTTCATATCAGACTACAGGCCAAATTAGACAGATGGCTTCTCTCAAAAGCTCCACCAGCCAGGGTGCCAGTTTGGCTCAGTGGGTGAGCCAGGGATGAGTTAACAGTAGGGATGGGTACCGGTGTCCGGTGCGTTCTGACATAAACGGTAGTAACCAGACCGAAAAGCAGCGCACATTTCGGTGCTTTTTTTCCCTGAGCTGTGATACACTTCTAGCCAATCATTTTATGTTTCCGAGGATAGTAGGCGGGTCCAGGTACGTACGTTCTTTTAGAGCAGAGCTACAGATTAAAAATGCCCACGGCGAAGCGGTCAAAGGTCTGGCTGTACTTCACAGCAAAATATGCAAACTCAGCAGCAACAAGTGCTTTAAGCTGATACTGTCAAAGGAGGTAACACCTCAAATCCGATGAAACACATGGCGACGCATAGCGTTTTTTTTAAAAGCCGAGAAATGCGCCGTATTTGATAGCTTGCTGCGAGACCTCACACCGAACACATCTACTGCGGATGTGGTGCCTGTTATCGGACCCAGATTTAGCAGCATCCCCCAAAAACACGAAGAGGAGAGTCCTGGCCCCTAGCCCTGCCAGTGTAGCAGATGTGATGAGGATGATGATGCAGCAGCAGCCGTTCTTCTCTGCGTGAGTAGCTTAATGTTGTTCGTGTGTAATTTACGTTGAGTAGGCTAACCACGTTATTACATTAATGCATGTAAGGTGAACTAGCAAACACCGTCGTAGTTACATGCGGCTGTCCTCTTGTTTGATGGCAGATACTCCCTTCACCCTGGCCAAAAAGGCTAAAATGACCAAAGAAAAAGAGGGAAACGGCTAAACATGAGATGTTTTTGGACAAAGTTTGTGTTTTTTCCATTGTTTAAGCACTGCTTCCAGCCAAGAGTCATACCATATATGCCCCATAGCTGCAGAAAAGGCTAACATTGTTATCTTTTTACAAAAAAACAGCTGAACATGAGAGGTTTTTGGACCAATTTTGTGTTCTCCATTCTTTAAGCACCGGTTTGAGCACCGTTTGAGCACCGGCACCGTTTCAAAAGTACCGATTTGGCACCGGTATTGGATAAAACCTAAACGATACCCATCCCTAGTTAACAGAAGCTATGACTCATTAAACTTGGCAATATTTTCCCAGTCTTCTATTGTCCAACTTTGGGAAGCCTCTTTGGACTGTAGTCTCAGTTCCTGCTCTTAGCTGGCAGGACTGGCACTCATTGTGGTCTTCTGCTTCTGTAGCCCTTGTGCGTCAAGGTTCGGGGATGCTCTTCTGCATACCTTGGTTGTAATTTGGGGTTATTTTAATTACTGTTGCCTTCCCACCAGCTTGAATAAGTATGACCATTCTCCTCTGAGCTTTGACATCAACACAATAGTTTCAGTCAGAGAACTGCTGGTCACTGAATATTTTCTCTTTAGTTGACCATTCTTTGTAAACCCTAGAGATGGCTGTTTGGGAAATCACAGTAGATGAGTAGTTTTTACTGAGACCAGTATGTCTGGCCCCAACAATCTTACCAGGTTCGAAGTCACTTAAATCGCCTTTCTTCCTCATGATGTGTACATGCTTAAATGCAAGCTGTGGCGACATGATTGGCTAATTGCGTTTTATGATTATTACTTTTACAGTGCAATCACCACACAGTTATACTTTTGGGGTCTTATTGTCAGTAACAGGAATGCAATAAATATTCTGAGAACGCACACACACTTATCTACTTAAATAAAACACAGACTCATTCCATATCAGCTGACCAAATTTTTAAAAAAAATTCCCAGCCTCACCATCTCTGATTTGGCTTAAAACATTCCAGGATAATGATACACTTCTTATTAATAGAAAAACTGCCCAATTTTAGCTCTCTAACGTTATTAATTTGTTCACTAAATGCAAAAACAAAACTACATAACTGCATAAATTTAACATCAAATCCATGTAATTACAAAGATATTATAACTTTAAAAAAGAAAAAAAAACCCCATTCATATCGCACTCGAAGAAGACGCTGATCGTGAACGCGCTCCGCTGCCCCTGTTCTCCGCGCATGCTCTCTTTAATCGCACCGTCAGGAAAAGTTTGCAAACACAATGGCTGAGGAGCAAGCTCAGACATCAAACGAAGAGCCCGTTCCTCTGTTCCTCATAACATCAAACACGGCACAGCAGAATAAGAGAAAAAAGCTCGCAGACAAAGAGCGCGTTGAGGAGGGAGTGTCAGATGAAGCCAGGATAAACATCGGAGCCGCTTTTCAGAGGTGGAGGGAGATACGGGAACTGAAAGGGTTCAAAACTGATGCAGAGTTCGCGACATTTCTGCTGGACAGGTAATAATACCCCTAAATATAATGGTAATAATAATAGCTCAGCTTCATTTCGTTTTGCTTCAGATAAAACACAACATACTGACTGAAATGACGCATATCTTGTGAGTGATGTTGCGGTGGGCTAATGCTAGCTTGTTCCCAGTACTGAGGTTTGTGATGAGCGCGTGAGTGTGAGGGGTTGTGTCAGAAAGGACATCCGGTGTGAAAAACAAAACAAAACAAAACTGCCAAATCATACATGTGGAGCTACAAGATGTGAATAAAGAGCAGCATGAGCTTTAGAAATAGGTTCACTGAGCTAAAGCTGAGGTACTGTTCATATGTTGATTAATGGTTTTCTTTCGTTTTTGATGTACTGCAGAATATTTTTATAAAATCCCAAGCCAGGAAAATCACCTTCATGTTTTTCTGTGTTTTATCTTCAGCTAATTTGACACAAAGGCATCTGCTGTGATGATTACACCTTTGATAAAGTCTTGCAAGTGTCAGCTTCCTTTTTATAGATACAGAAATATGTAAATGTACTGATCTGAATTATAATGTTTCTGACTATCTGAGGCAAAATTTCCCAGATGCAAATGGAATTGAATCGAATCGAGGATCGAATCGATTTGGGACCTTGTGAATCGGAATCGAATCGATTCTAGAAATTAGTGACGATACCCAGCCCTAATAGTCTCCTTTGCATTAAAAAAGACCTCCTTCTTTCGGCTGCACCCTTTAGGGGTCGCCACAGTGGATCATCTCCCTCCATCTCACCTAAGCATCCTCTGTATGGAAATCTCATTCTTTATTATCTGTATGTTTCTGATGTAACCCTCCTTTATCCGGGCTTGGGACCGGTGTACACTGGCTTATGCACTCACGTTGTGTTTCAATAAATGGAAAAAGGAAAAAGAACATGAACGCCCTAATCAAGTTGGAAAAACATCATGAAGTCTAAGAAAGTTTTTGAGTTGTTGACATCATACTCAAATTAAATATTTCATTAACCGCAATACATTTGATTAACTGTGCAAATGTTTGTTATTCAAATAAATATTTTTCCCACACTTAATCTGTAATATGGTAATTGTTTGTAACCATAGACTGTATATCAAAGATGGATGTAAGCACATCACCCAGTGCTCTGGAACATTGCATTTTGAAGCCTCAACGTTAACGCTTTGGCCATCATTATGTAAAGCAGAATTCAAAGTACATCAACTGACCCCATTTGTGGGCATTTATCTATGCAAAGTGAAGGATTGTGGGTATCCCTCCTACACAGTTGTCCTTCCTCAGCGTGTAGTGTGACAGTGATCACCCTATGAAGAAGAAAAATGCTGAGTGATTGAAAATTTAGAACAGAGAAGAGAGAGTTTACCAGGCCTAAACGTGAGGTTATAATGTTTTTGTTTTCCATGTTATGAGTTAGCTTATGCATACTATGCTTTTGTGCAATTATTTAAATAATTAGTAACCAGATGTAATTTTTCTGGATTTTAGTTTGACCTCCATGAATTGATTTTCTGCAGAGATGCTGACTTTGAAAAGGAAGAGCTGAGTTTCAGTGAAGCAGAAAAACCTTCTGCTCAGGTTTCAATGTCAAGGTATATGTTTTTTTATTAATAGTATTTATTAGTTGTTGTTTTTTTAAATTAATTATACTGTTGTCACAGATTATAATTTCTAGGTCAGACATATATGCATACCTTGTACAGTTAGATCCTGTATTGACAGACAAAGTTCAATAAAACAGTCATAATCTGAATGAATTGCAGACTTTTACAGTTTTTTAACTCATTCACTGCCAGCCATTTTCAAATCAGGTAACTCCCCACTGCCAGGGTTTTTGAGCATTTTTACTCATTTTTGAAGAGCCACAGAAAACTGTGTGTTATGATCATATAAACGCTGAACCTACCAAAATGAAGAACAGACTCTCTTCTCATCCAAAAAAAAAAAGCTTGTTTCTACCATTTTCCATTCTTTAGTAATCAGCTGTAGAAGAGAGGTGGGTTCCACCAAAAATGCCTGTTTTGACCAAAAAAAGGGAGAAAACGAGCTTTCTGTGAAAAATACATTTCAAGCAGAAAAGTGCCTTTGACACTAATATTTCTTGCTTTGTGACACCTCTAACATATAAAATAGTTTTTCACTTCTATAAAACAGAAATAACATTGAGAAAGGTTATGTTTTATCAAAACAATTTATTTACAAATATATGAAAAAATAAAATGTACATAGTGAAACATTTATTCACAATGAATAATTCACTTTTGTGTGGTAATCATTATAACACTTTCCGGGATGCAAATCGCACTACTGCCACTTGCAGGTCGATTTTGTCATTACATACCATGAATGCAAGTCTGATATTCACTGACAAGCTGCCCGAGGTTGTATTCTAGCCCCTCCCATTGAAAAACGTAATTGACGTCTATAGACGTCAATGGCAGTGAATGAGTTAAAAAGTAGTACATTAGCAGAATTGCAGAAGTTTTTCTATACAGTCTTGTATTTTTCAAGGTCTCATATGTAATTGGACAACTTCACACTACCGTAAATGGAATGCTTATTTTTAATGAGTGAAAAGTCAACTTGTCCAAAACAAGTATGCATAAAACTGCAAAGCTATTTGTCATCCCTCAAACTTGATGATGACTTCAATTTCATCGTAATTCCCATACACACAATATTTACATCAACTTATAAGTCATTGAAATAATGTTCGTTTTCCTTCGCTGTAGTGTTGACCGTGCAGAGGACTGGGTGTGTTCTCCGGGCGAGGACAAAGGAGATGTTTCAACATCAGAGGATGAGGATGGCGTCAGTGACAATAAGGATGAGGACTACATCCCTCCAGTATACATTCAGTAAGCCCTTCATTTAAAAGTTCAGGTTCATGAAAAGTTGTTTCATTTTTCTCACTGTCTTCCCTGTTCCTCCAGCAGTGGCAGTGCCAGTAAAACTAACATGCACTCGGATGCTCCAGAGTCTATCAGCAAAGGGGACGCTTCACATGAAACTGCAGAGCCAATGGAGCAGCTGCCAGGGGGCATGGAAAAAACGAAAGTCCAGAGTGAGGACAAAACTGGTAGGCCTTGAGTTAATGTAACCTGACAAAGTTTTTTACATATCTTTAATTTTTCTTTTTAAAATATGTTTGCTTGAAGTATTGAGTAAAACAATATTACTATAGCAAATCGGTTTATTTAAATAGGCTGTAGTTTAAAGAAGTTGTAGTTGTTAACAGCGCTGATAGTGGATTTCTCAAAAAAAAAAAAAAAGTTGACATGTGCTATCCTCCTGAGGTTTTCTTTGTTACGATGGCAACACATCCCCACGAGTCACTGGAGAAAAGTTAAACACCAAAGTCGTCATTATTTTCTCTGTAACTTGGTGCCTATAATGTTATGCTGATTTTTGTGTCATTTGTTCCTACAGGAAACAGGCCTCATCATCAGCTTGGAAACCAGGAAAGGAATGCTGCCAACAAACACCTCCAAGTGAGCAAATTTACACCTTATAGATTAAGACTTCTTAAACTGTTGATAGCTGTGCACCTATTTAAGGAGGCGGGGTGTGATTCAGGGCTACACAGAAAAACTACATCCATTAAAAACCTTTGCACAGCATTTTTAATGTGTCTGTTCAGAGGATGGACCTTTTTAAAGGGACCTACACTATTATCAGTGATTACAAGCTCCAAAGTTTTATTATTGGACTCTCATAGAACAGTTTGGAATGATTCATGGTTCAAAATAATCCCTGTTATTTTATACTTTAAACCGGGTACCCGGGACAGGCTTACTGAAGTCTTACCTGGAGCCAGACTCAGGGTATAGGCTTGGGGACAAGCATTTGGTTGCTCAACCTGAAAAAGGATGATGTGGATCCATCCTCTTATGGGCCCACAACTCACAGAGCAGGCCATAGGTGTTCGGTGATCTGTGGCAGTCAGAGGCGGAGGCCCTGGCTCTCTGATCCTTGGCTTACAAATCTGATACTGGGCACGTCACCTCTCTGGTGGGGAAGGAGCCGGCGCTTTTGTGAGATACCGACTAGATGTAGCCAAGCTCACCTCAGTCCATAGCTCAGGCTCTGGAACCAGTTCACAGATAGATTGGGGAGAGCTGAAAGTAAAAGCATAGGTGTCGATTTAAACTCATTTCACAATGAGTTTCCTTTGAAGACTGGCTGGGCTCTTCCTTAGAGGTAGGGCAAGGAGCTCGGTCATTCAATACTGCTACTCCTCCACATAGAAAGGAGCAAGTTAAAGTGGTTTGGGTATCTCCTAACAGGAGGAGACCCTGGAGTATTGTGCAAATATGAGAGCATGTCGGTTCAAAACCCAGATGTATCACCCAGAATGAATTGTGCCTTTCGGAAACACCCACATGTTGAAGTACCGCAACTTCAACATGCAGCGCACCACAGCGAGTAGTTCTACATGTTGAAGTTTTTGTACCAGATGCACAACCTCAAAAGGATCTGTGAGTCCTCCTGACATTGTTTGTTTTTTGGGCAAATGTGATAACCACTCCACTGTGGAGCCTTTGCTCAGGCAAATGCTGACAGTTTAAAACTTCATGTGTTCACAGTGGAAAACAGAGGAAGGCCACGGAGCTGAAACACGGGAGAAGGATCATGAAGCAGCACCTACAGGTAAGTTAGACTATTTTATTTTGATGTCATATTTTTTCTTTATAAGATCCGATCCACAAGACACATAAAAATATCCTCTGCTGGCCATAAAAGATTTTTAAGGTCGCAGAAAAATCTCTTGATGTTTTGATTTTTGCATAAAAGCGTGATTGAATCAGAAGAATGTTTTTATCTCTTTAATGCAGCAGTAATCTAAACAGAGTTTTGCTGCTAGTGCTCGATGCCTTCCTTACTCACACTAATGTTCTAAATATTATTATTTTCAGGTATTTATTTTTGTTCAGGAGAATTTTTAGGTGCGAGTTCAGAATCCACCAGTGAGCACACCGGCCTCGCTTACAAGACCGAAGAGATAAAACCGCCGCAGGCGCTTCGCAGACCGAAGAAGATCTACAAGTGTCAGACCTGTAGTAGAGTGTTCCCTCGGTACAATGCACTGCAGCGCCACCTTGTGATTCACTCGGGAAAAAGACCTTTCAAATGCTTCATATGTGGGAGAGGATTCACCCAGAGTGGAAACCTCAAAACACACATGAAAGTTCACAGAGGTGAGAGGAACCTCCTGCTGCGCTCAGGACACTTTAACCACAAGCAGTCATGTGATTAATTCAGTTGTGCTTATGAAAGCATCTGTCGAGTTTCTCCTCTTGTGTATCACGATGTTTCTTCTTTATTTAATTGCCCATCTGCATCTATCAGTCACTGTATTTGTTCCTCCTCACAGGTGAGCTTCCAAAGTGGACCTTAGTTCAAAAGAAGAGCGAGCCTAAAGAATCGCCTGCTACAGTTCACGTGTGTGGGGAGTGTGGAATGGACTTCCCTGAGAAACATCAGCTAGAGGAACACCGTGAGACTCACAAGAAACCCTACGCATGTCCCGACTGCGGCAAGAGATTCAAACAGGAAAATGGCGTTAAAATCCACATGCGGCTCCACTCGGGAGATTCCCTTTTCTTCTGTTCCGCCTGTGGGAAACACTGCACTACGGCTAAAATGCTTAAAATACATATGCTCACTCACACCGGAGAAAAGAATTACCATTGCGATCAGTGTGGGAGGGCGTTTTCACGCTCTTCCTATCTAAAGTTGCACCTCAGAACTCACACCGGAGAGCGACCTCACCTGTGCTCGATCTGTGGGAAACGTTACTCCAGAGCAGATACTCTTAAAGCCCACCTGAGAGTTCACACTGGAGAGAACCCGTACACGTGTAAGATGTGCGGGAAGTGTTTCTATTATTATCAGGGTTATCAAGCACATGTGAAGACTCATAACAAGAAGCCCAAAAAAGCTACAAGACCTCTGGGGAGACCAAAACAACAGCTGATAGTGGTAAATAATCAATAATGGGATTTTAGAAAAATAAGAAAATATTAAATTATTTTTGTTATATAATATACCTTTAACTCTCTACAGAGAAATTTCTGAAGTGGTTGGAGAAGCAGTGTAAATGTAATGTGTTTTTTAAGCACAGTTGCTGTTATGTGACTAGAACTGTGAAGACAATAAATCCTAATAATTGTTCCTGTGTGTTTTGTAATTGTAGTCTTAACAAACTCTTAAACTTAATGTTGATTATTCCAGATATTGGAGACTTAGTGGATCTGATACAAGGATTTGCCATTAAGCCAAAAGCTTAATCCAGTGAAGCTAGAAATATCACTGTTATTTGTTTTTTGTCCTTGGAAACAATCAGCCAATCACACCTGAACGTGAGTCAAAGTCAAGTCAAAGTCAACTTTATTGTCAATTCTGCCACATGTACAGGACATACAGAGAATAGAAACTTCGTTACTCTCAATCCCTAGATAAAATAGAAAAT